GCCGGGCTGGCCCGAAAGCAGGCTGCGCCGTTTGGGCTGATGCAAAAAGCCCGCCGGGCTGGCTGCTTAAAGCAGCCGGCCCAGCCCGCCCGGTTGTTTGGGCTGGCTACTGAGAACACTGCCTGGGGGCGTTGAAGGACTCCAGGCCAACAGCGACACGTCGCTTTCCACCAGGGACGCGTGACCGATGGTCAGTTAAAATTCTAGCCAGGCTGCGGACGCAACACTCAGGTAGCGGTGTAAGCCGGCTTGCCACAGTCAGAACTCATAGGAACGAAAAAAAAAAAAGAGGCTGTGTACACCGGGATTCGAACCCGGGTCGTGCCTATCGAACTTCAGTGTTCGGAAGGATCCTGAAGGGCGGCACGCTCGACCAGTGAGCTATACACTTGGGATATTTTGAAACCTCATGTATGCTGACAAGAACATGCGCCTTGATGAAATGCATCACTCACCCCGAGATCCTCCATTGTTCTCTGTGGCTTCAACATCTGTCGAATGCACTAACGTGACCATAACTGGTCACCAACTGAATTATCAGCAAAATATTGGCCTCTGCCTTGACCGTAAAATACCCCCTTTGCAATTCCACCCGCTTTCCTCTTATCTACCGTCGACAACATGATCACAAGCCAGCATCTCTGGCATCGTCGGCGCGGCGGAACCATCACGAAGCCACATCTGCGGTTGCTGCTTCATATATCTATAACTATATAAAGCAAACAGGGCCTCAAACACGGTAGCGCCGCGGTGGCTTTCGCGGTGGCTTTCACTGTGGCACAACGCAGAAAATAGTGAGTGATTAGCTGTGATGCGGGGCGCATTCCGGAGCGGAGCCGTGGAGGAGCTTTAGCGACGATACTGCGGAGCGACTGCGCAGCTCTAGCATTCCGGAGCGGCGCCATTGAGGAGCTTTAGCGCCGATATTGCGGAACGACTACGCAGCTCTAGGATCTGGAGCGGAGCCATTCACTATATAATGCAGTTGGTGTGGCGTTTTTGGGTGGCGTGTTACGGTGGCTTTTCCGCAGGCTCAAGCCTAAATTTCCGATCGTCGGATTTTGGAGTGAAGCGACTGCACATCTCTATCATTCTGAAGCGGAGCCGTGGAGGAGCTATATCGACGACACTGAATGAAAGCAACTGCGCCGTGTTTCACACACATACTCCTTGACTGCAACCTACGTATGACTTTACATTAAGTGGCGCTGTACTAATGATTGCACACCGTGTGGTCACCACACGGATGTTCACTCGTAACCCCATATCGCGCCATTGCGCAGATAATGTCGGGATCAAGTGACATGACCATAGAAAAAGCGGCAGGTAAAATACTAGTGATGGACATAAGCCGAGCCGGCTCGAGCTAAAGGCTCGAGCCTCGAGCAAGCCGAGCGAAACCTGACACTTCGGCAAGCCGAGCCGGCTCGAGCCTGTTGCCTGACGAGCCGAGAACTTGCTCGAGCCTTTTTTCTAATAGTTAGCTAGCTAGGTAGGGGGATATACCCCGTCGGCGGGCCATGATGGAAAGTGCGTGGCCAAGGCGGGTTGATCGAGAATATTCTGTGGAATTGCATCAGTGTAGTTTTACTGCTCAAACGCTGGCTCGACGACTGGAAGCTTCACGGCATCAACAATAATTCTACAAACTGCACGGATGCCGCCGATGAACAGAGACAGGTTAAGGATGCTTTCAATAGCGAGGATGCCCAGGGCTCGGCAGCCAGGCAGAGCGAGGGTCCGACGACCATGCAGAGCGGCCGGTCACAGCACCGTTTACTCACAGTCAGACCACCCTGAAGGCGGGGATGGTGCCCATAGTGTTGGCCATGGTGGCCATGGTGCTGGCCAGGAGCATCCGCACGAGGGCGGCGCAAGTGCATGGAGGCAGAGCAGAACAGGAAATTGAGCTAGAAAGCTTTGATTCCGGACCAGATCTATGGGATATGTATCAGCATAGCGACGTATAGCGACGTCTCTAATGTCGCTATGTGCAACCTCTTATTTACCGGCCCGTATATCATAAATTGTACTATCGTTCGAGCCAAAGCTCGAGATTTTCAGGCTCGGGTCGGCTTGTGTCTATCAATATGAAATAATACAAGGAATGTGAGGAACCAAATGAAGGGTGATGTCTCACGATTACGAGTGTGAGCGATGAAAATGACCCAGCACTCCACCAGCGGCTCCTCTCGATCATCCCGGTAAGTCCCATTGTGCCGGCCTTTACCATTACCTGTTGTTCATCTGATGTCGCGAAGGCCGGGTTGCTATTGTTGCAGCCGCGTAGGTTGCGATATCGGAGCACCTAAGATTCGATGTCATCGATAGAGTTCGTGCAGGTCAGGCTATCAGCCTTGTAAAAGGCTGCTCGCCTACAAGCACCAGTTTTGTCGATTGTCGGCACAAAATTCGATATTCCCGGTCTGGCTGTCTGCGTCTTTGTAAGCGAAAGGCGAGAATTCGTACAGAATGATACCCAGTGAGGCAACAGTGAAGTGATATTCGTCACTTCTTCATAGCCCGAGGAGCCCATAGCCTGGTTGGCCGATGACTGAAAATACTGACCAGCACCAGCGCCTTCAATCAATGAACGCTACATAGTCGCAGAACACCGTTGGTAGACATCGTCAGATCATCAGATACCGTATGATTCCAGCCATGAGGTGATCGTCTTATCCCACTGTCAGAGATGTCAAAGGCGAAGGGTCAGGTTAGGGCTGTGTATTTCCTGTCAGGAACGACCGCCACCACCTCCGCCGACGGCTTCCCCGCCATAGGTGCTTCCGGCCCTGCTGCCCAGTCCACCATTGCTGCCACCACCCAGGTTTCCTCTACCACCTCCTCTCACACTGGTTTGGGTTCAGACTTGCTGACGCTGGCTATGGTTCGCGTTCCGCTCAACCCCCGGCGTCTCGTCGCCGCTTGATGGGCGGCGCCCCGCGAAGGTAGGTCTGTCTTTGAATAGGCTGTTCCAAATTGTACATCTGTCACGGCGCAAGTTTGGAACAAGGTTGTGTGGGGCTGTGCGTTGGCTCCGAGCCACGATTATTCTTTTTTGCTCCGATGGGTTTGTTTTTGGGTTCTGTTGGGCTTCGCGATTAGCAATCGGGGCAAGTGGCTGCGCGCGAGCATTTTGATGTATGACGGCGCCTTCGCTTCCGCCTCGTTGTTCTCCTTTCTCTGCACTGAACCGTCGTATTTCATTCTGAATGCATCTGTTCCACCCTCGAAAATTCGACCCCGTGCGTAGCGTCTCTCGTCTCTGCCTCTTGATTGTCGTGTCGGCTGCAGTTCTTGCACGCTGTCTGTTACCCTTTCGTACGGAAGTCCCTTGGCACTCCTCCTGTCTGCACGGGGAAAAGGGCATCATCCGGGGCCCTTTTAAGATGGCCGACGCTGTGCATGCGGGCGTGCAGCTCGTTAGTTGATCCCTTTAAACCCAAAACTGACACAACTTTGGACCAGGAGCGATAGATTTCGGCGCAGTTCACGCTCTTCACTCGCGTCTCAAGAAGACGGTGGATGAGAAGCGTTCACCATGCTCAACTGCGCGCATAGAAACCTGTAAGGTTTTGAAGAAGGCTTTCGATCCGTGGGTTGTAGTTTTTTTAAGGGAACACGGGTAACAGGGCATCGTTGGGGCCCCTTCTCATATGGCGGAGGCCGTGCAGACGTAGCTACAGCTCGCTACTTGATGCCATTCGAAGCAGCAACTGGCATAACTGTCGAAACCCGCCAGGAGCACTGGCGAGCGACGCCTGCCACGCTTTGCGCCTGCCACTGAAGCAGAAGGTGTCGCACAAGCTCAACCCAGGCCAGTCAGCTCTCGTCCACATAGCATGCTTGATGCGTCCACATACACCGAAGGCGAGAGGACTTTGAACTTCCTGGGAGTTAGGGTAGACGTCCCGAGCCATGGCACCCCCTGTGTGGCTAGTTACTGGCCAAAACCTTGCGCAGCGAGGCTGGGGACTCAGTTGGCAACGTCAATGATCAGCAAAACGCTGACGCACCCACCCGTTTGTGATTGCACTCTGGTGGGTGTCGTGATTTCCAGCTCTACTCAACAGTTGAGAGTCTTGAGGCGGTAGACAGGATCATTCAGGCGACGTGGTTTGGTCTACCGCGACCGCGCTTTGCGATTCCGTAGCAGGTCGAGTTGGACGTTGCATATGGGCAAAGTATTGTGGGATCAGATGATCGATTCAAACGCTCTGGATCGCGATCGAACAGTATGAACGAGGTAGTTGCGGCACGGATCATGGTAGACAAAGCTGCGGCCTTGAACTTGGCTGAACCTTGGAGGTAAATGACGCCGTCTATCCACAATTTGATTCCTCGGTAACCGCCAACACCAGCAACGGCCAGGGTGGCCCTAGAGCGTGCCCCTGTGCTGTCCTCCATCGCCGACGTGCGCGGTGGCCATGAAAAAGAGAGTGTCCCGCGTCGGCATGCACAGCTCACTATAGTTGCCAGTGGCGTGGTTCGTGGTGATATTGACCAAGAATAGCGGTGACGAGTCATTCATTGTCTCCGCCGTGATGCCGGTTATCACCGCATGAACAGCTGGAGGAGCAACGCCGACGTGCGTGACCCTGCAGTGAATATTATTCTGCTCCCATCCACCACGGCCAGGAACACTCACAGTATCGATAGCGTCGCAGTGGAGCGCAATAACAGCGTCCGAAACCATCGCGGCTGTCTTTTCCGGCGTTGGGCGAGGGCACATGGGGGCAGTGTCGCGATGGTAGAAGTTTGGACAGCACTTGGTCAAGTTGAATGTATATGCACTCAGTTGCAAGATCAAGGATTATATCGGTCCTAAAGCAGGGATATAGTCCCCTCTACGGGTTATGCGGACAGCCATATCGTGATGTGTTCGACTGCAAGATTAAAAGAGTGGAGCCACAACCCTGAAGTAGCGGTGTAACCCGGTTTGCCACAGTCACAGCGCTCAGCGATCGCAGAACTCGTAGGAACGAAAAAAAAAAAGAGGCTGTGTACACCGGGATTCGAACCCGGGTCGTGCCTATCGAACTCCAGTGTTCGGAAGGATCCTGAAGGGCGGCACGCTCGACCATTGAGCTATACACTTGGGATGTTTTGATACCTCATGTATGCTGACAAGATCTTGCGCCCGGATGAAATGCGTCACTCACCCCGCGATCGTCCATTGTTCCTGTGTCTTCGACATATTTCGAATGCGCTAACATGGCCATTACTGGTCACCACCTGAACCATCAGCTCAGGATGTCGGCCTCTTCCTCGATCCTCAAACAGCCCCTTGTCTACCGCCGACAAGATGATCACAAGCGAGGTTTGTTGCTATCATCGCCGCGGCGGCACCACTCCTGCAGTTGCTCCTGCATCCCTTCTGATCTGAAATCGACTGATCATTGCCAAATCCTCTTCGCGAACTGGAAAACCATGGCACGCGCCGGACTGCTGTACAATCGCACGGCTGCTTACCATCTCGCCGTGCGAAGATATGGTGGAGCCTGTATTGATCAGCCCCCGTGCGCCCCAGGAAGCTATGTCCGACAAGCACTCGGTCACCTACGAGAGAGTGGGCCTTCCATGAAGCACGGAACTTGTGTCGACGACATCGCCGTTCGTCAAGGAACCCGATTAGAAGTGCGTGGTACCGGAATGAGCAAGCAACTACGCATGCTGATTCACGGTGACCGGCTTTTTGGAAGCCGCATTTTCGTAGTTGCCGGTTTGGGCCGTTTGCTTGGTGCTCGCGTTTTTTTGTTGCCGCAGCTGATGGTACAAACGCACTTGGAGCGTGTTGTAGCCATAGACAACTATAGGTCACAATACGACGTGAAGGACGATAATCGCGGTGGGCTAAACCAGTGGTTTATCTGCAGACGTCCGTAACCCTGATGCGCGTCATGTATCACGCCCACTCCCAATTGATAGTAGATATCAGTCGATAGTGATAAGAGATACGCCTCAAGCGGCGTCGCGTGACGACCAGTGAAGCGGCCAGGCGCGCAAGCTGGCGCTTTAGGCATATCTCTGATCTTATTTCATCTTGCGCCATCTACTGGTCACTGGTCAGGGACTTTACTTACCACGCTGTTCATGTTAGGAGAACGCGTGGAAGCCGCATCGGTGAGGGAGCGAAGGCCACGTCGACGGCCCTGACATGCAGTGCATGCATGCGCGGCGTCGCAATCGTGAAAAAACTACCAACGTAGTGGAAACCCGTTCGCCCACCCAGCTGTGCTTATGTCCCCGAATCGGCATCGTGGGTCGCCAGACGAAGCCAGCATGTCTTCCAAAATGAAGCCCCAACAATCGAGGCCGCGAAACCCCATTAGGCTTTAGGGCGACAGCCAGAGAATCCCGGGAGCATCGCTAAGTGGAGGGGTTCTTCATGTACGTTGGAGTTGGCGTGCGAGGGACGGAGTTCGATACAGAGTGCTCAGTTGGCTGAGTTCATAACACGTACCAGATTAACCCTGATGGCCCAACCCTCACAGCCTTCACACCTCGCGTGGAGCTGAAAACACTCACGTCGTCACGAGATACATAGCACCACCCGCACCGCGACCCAGACCTCTCCTACCCTGTCATGAACGAACCGAGCAGCACTGCACGGGCTGTGCTCACAGCCGCCGACGATGTGTTTTCCGCCCTGCAAGCGGAGATCGAGGTGCACTGGTCGCCTTTTTCATTCTCACGATCAAGGCCGAAGGAAACATGCGAACGCGCGCCGCTCGCATGCGGCATCGTCCAACTTACGACTTCCTGGCGAGACGTGCGGCCAGCATATACGGCCACGTGTTGCGCTGCATCGAAACGACGAGTCCACGCATCTCCGCGGTAATGGCGACCTGGGCCGACGACATCCACCGTGCGATCACCGAGACCTTGCGGTGGGAGGCGCTAGTGAGGGACTGGACTGACAGGGCGCGTCAGGCGGTGGAGCTGGAGGATGAAACGTCATCTGTGGAGCAGGAGGGCGGCTTGGCTGTACAGTGAGATGTCCCGCAACACCAGGAGCTAATTCAACCGCTAGGCAGCGAGGGCAAGAATGCCGAGTTTTTAGTGGTATTATAAATCGACAGTTAAAACTTGTCCACAACCTTTGTCGTTCCACGGCGTTGTGATTTGGTAACGTAAGTCCCGTACTTCGTGAGGGCAGTTGCTCCCATGATGCAAGCCTACAGGTGGCACTTCTGCGCATAATCTTCATTTTGTCCAATTGTCATGATTTTTGATCTTGCAGAATGTTTAGATCGCGCTCTGTGGTTCTATTCTGTGGTCGCACAGTCACGATGTTGCAGTTGCGGTTCTGGATTAGAAGCAGCTCGAACACGCTTTTGGAAACCTTTGGTTGGAACGTTGGTTTTGGAGTTTCTACTGAGGTCATTAAACAGAATGGTGGATCTATGGGTCAAGATTCACGTCTGGCCCACATACAAGGTCGATACCGAAACGCGCCCTGAGGGTTAATCACTAACACTTCCAAAATTCAACAGCGTGGCAGAGCCCTAATTTGAACCCATGCGTTTGAACGCCGGTAGATTTTAGGTCCCGCAATTCAGTGCCATTCAACATCAACCTACACGTCCAGCGTACAAGAAAAACAGTAAACGCAGCAGCAAATAGCAAGGACGAATCTTATACCGGAGATTTCATCCCGAATCCGACGGCCGGACCTCCGAAGAGAAATGGATAAAAGCAAAGACGATAGCCCTACGAAATCAGAAGAGCACAGCACCATGGATACTCACGCACCCCCCTCACACCTGAATCGAATGCCAACGACAGACTCATTTATACGAATACCGAATGAGTTACATCTTCAGATAATCGAAAACCTAGATACAGGCGACTGGTTGGTAAAAGATCACATTGCTGTGATTCTATCCTTGTCGTACAGCGCCGGCGAGGATGTGGTAGGCAACCGCGCACTGGACTGCTATGTTGGTACCCTCTGGGCACCGTCCTACCCGGCCCTCCTATTATTTTCGGTGCAGCAGCAGCTGCCTGTCGTTTGTCTGGGAAGAATTCTGACGCGCCTCCCCGTCGAAAACGTCGACTTCATGCCCGCGGTGAGAGAATGCATCAAGCGCAATGCTGTCGGACAACTCCAACTTCTTCTCAAATTCGCAGGAGGTGCAAGCAGGCTTTGCATGCAGCTTGTATATGCAATCCTGGCGGGCCACAGTGAGTCGGCGGTGGTAATGGCCAAGGGAATGGATCAAGAGAACTTGGCCAAAGCGGTGCAGGGACGGCAGAAAATCGGGTGGCGCGGTCAATGCATCTCTCTTTTGACGATACTGGTGCGAGCATTCCAGCGGAGTCAGGTGTTATGGGATCACTGGGACTGTGCTGGCCCGCTTCCCAAGGGCTGGCAGGGGCGGGCCGCTTCATGCCTGGCGGCGGTATTGGACGTCCTCGATGAACGGCTTGACCAAATCGACTATCCGCAGCCTTGCCCGTTGGAGACATTGGCAGAGTTCATTTTTGCAATGCCGGGGTTCATTGCCGACCCCATGCGGAACCCGGAGCGCGATTGGATCAACATCGAAGAGACCGGAGAATGGACGTGGAAGTGCCGCGCCCTCTATTTCGTCCGGCTCGAGGCACCTGAACCCTCTGTACCTCATCTGATGCCCGCGGATGTCGAAGATTGTTTTCAAGGGCCAGTGCACACTGCGGCCATAGAGACCTGGGGCTGGTTCTGGAGCTTACTCCTAGGCGTAAAGGTCATCCATCAAGGAATCGCCAACAGTGGCGGAACTCGCAGCATGTGGGATTTGCCGACGGCATTTCTCCAGGTCCTACTGGACAGAATTACGTTTTCCTTGTCGGCGCGCGGAAAGACCTTGATGTGGGCAGTCAGATTCCGGGACCCGGAAAAGGTCGAGCTTGTATTTTCTCATCTCGGCCCCCCATGCCCCGCACCTGTGATCTCTGACGACATTATGGAAGGTGGGTTCTGGAGCGAAGATGGAGACCTCTGCGCCGACTTGTGGAACGGCTTTGTCGAGGACGACGGCCGGGCGAAGCTATTCCCGCCAGGTACACCCGGCGGGCTGTGGAACGCCGTTATCGATGATATCCTCGAAACCGGAACCCTGTCGCCTGCTATTGAACTGGTGGAGAAGATGCATGCGGACGATGCGGGTGTGCATGCCTGTCACGAGCGAAAAAACGGGGTGCCGCTGCTGCATGCCCTGGAACAGCTTGGGTTTCTACACCCCGACTGCATGAAAAGTCACACGGAAGAACACGAGCGGGAGCGAACGAGGATCTTCCTGGCGCGACGCAGCCCATTGCGCCCAGTGATCTCCACACCCATATGGGCAGGGGCAAAGATCGAGCGATCATTCACTTGGGGACCTACCGAGAGTGATGATTATGTTTTGGAGCCCAGCCCCTGGTGGCTAGAGCCCAGCCCCTGGTGGCCAGAGACCGAGGCAGCCGCCTATGCCAGGCTCCTCGAGAATGAGAGGCACGGGTAGGATGGGATAGAAGGACGATAGAGATGTCGGAGCAGGTTCTACAGGGAATACAACCGTGTGTTCATGTAGGCCGCACAAAAAAACAGAATGGCCGAATAGAAACCTTTTTCTATCAAAGCGAGCGATCCAGCGTGAATAGAAAGAAAAGTTCTGTAAAAACCACGTTCCGATAGTCCAGAAACCTGGCGTGACAAAGAGTTTGACCGATAACCGCAACGCCTGCCGGCCACCCTCGGCCTCAGAACTCTCCCCACCGGCTCCATAACCTCCCTGCCCGTTCTCATAGCCTTCCCCCCCGGCATCTCCTCTCTAGAATTTTGACGAAAGTGACGCGAAGCAGGTACCTCTGTTGGCGTTCCACCGCTAGATAACAGAGTAAAGTATTGTCCTTCCTATCATTGACGGGACGGCCCCCAGCGTAGTCGCTCAAGGTGAGGACAATGACCAAACAGAGATAACATCAACAGGAAACTGTGAGTTTTTTACACGCTCAGTGGTGAATGCGATGCATCAGATGTCAGAATTTTTACCCAAGTATCATTCTTTTCCCTGGCAGCAGACCCTTGAAGGGAGAAGCCCTGCTGCCTGCCGGAGATTCCTATGCAGCA